CCCCCCGGTCGCGCGCCTCCCTGCCAAGCGGAGCCTCTGTCTGCGCTGGTCTCGGCGGGCAGACGCACTGCGCTCAGCGGGCCAACCTGGGGCTGCGGAGCTCCCACCCCGGGAGCGCAGATCCGGAGAGTGGGCGCTGAAGAGCGTGTGCTCAGCCGGCCTGTGTGGCCGCTGCAGGGCCGGGAGAGGGCGCTCCGTCCCCTTCAGACACTTGCACCCACCGGGGTTCACAACCAGACACTGTTCCTGGAAAATCACCCCTGGGCTTTTGGGCGCGAGCAACGATGCGTAAAGAAATGGATCCGTTGTCATCTTCGAACTAAGTAGAATTTCCCTGCCTCCTGAGACAGGTCTCCGGCTCAGAGCCCTACACGCCCACCTGTACTCTCCAAGAGCAGAGACTGTTTAGTAAAATAAAATGAATTCAAGTGAAGAAAAACACAGCTCTAGCGAGTGTGTGTCATCGGAAGCCCTGATGCTGCTAGTATTCCTCTGGGCTGCGTTATTCAATTCACTCCCTGGAGCCCCCCCCTTTTTTTTCTATAATCAGGGACCAATAGCTTGGTGGGGGGCACTCGCCCAGGGTGAGTACCTCGGTTATACCCCCCCACACACACACACACACACGCACGGACACACATACACTTTATTATGAAAAACTTCATACCTACCAAAAAGTTGAAAGAATTATACAGCGACCACCCGTGTACTCGCCACCTAGATTCTGCAATTAATCTCTTACAATCAATACCTGCCTTATTCTGGATCTATTCGTTCCCCTCCCCCCCCCTTTTTAGAGAGTTTTTGTTATAGGGCACATGCACTCACCAGAGAGAAAGTGAGAAAGCGAGAAATCATCCTGCATGGGAGATGGCCATGCCACAATCCCTTCTCCTCCATTCTCCTCTGGGGAAAGATTTTGGGCTTGCAGGCACACTCACCCGACATGCGTTTCAAGCCTCTAGGTCCAGGACTCTAACTACAGTCGACTATGTGGAAGTCCAGCAACATAACCACTATGCCATATACTGGTCCTACTTAGTCTCTCTTTCAGTTCACCCACCCATCTTGTTTGATGCATTTCAAAAGAAGTCACAGACATGACACACGAATATTCCGCCTGTCGCCACTACTCCTGCCTGTACAGCATTACCTATGGTTCAATGTTTGTTTGCATACTTTTTTTCTTTGGGGGTAAAATTCACATTCAATAAAATGCACAAATCTTAAGCACATCCTTAGATGAGTTCTGACAAATGCCTACACCTTTAGGATAAACCGAACACCTAGCTTCCAACCCACCAACCAAACATCACCAGCGGGTCAGAGATCCTGTCTGTCTCCAGTAAATTCCCGCCTCCGTTGCTCCAGGGAAAAACCATGGTTTTAAACTTTTCTACCATTGATTACTTTTGTCTTTCTAAAAATTAGTTTTGCCTGTTACAGATCTCAGTATAAATAATAGAATCTTATGCTTAGGTACACTTTTTAAATACTTTATATTCTTGAGATTTATACACGGTTTTATGTCTTGTTAACAATGTATTCCTTTTTATTGCTACTTTTTATTGTATTGTTTGGACACAGCATAGTTTGCTCATTCATTTTCCTATTTATAAATACCTGGGTTGTTAGAAAATCTGAGTTATTGTAAATGAAACTGTTGAAACTTTCTTGAACAAGTGTTTGTGGATATATATCTTCAGATCTCTTGGATAAATACCTAGGAGTGGAATTGTCAGGTCATAGGATAGGTATGTATACAGTTTTATAAGAAATTGTGACATCTTTCCAAAATACCTCGTAGTATACAATAATACCAGATGTTCCATATCCTTGTGAATATTTGGTGGTATTAGTCATTTTAATTTTAATATACTGGTGGATGTGTGGTGGTATTTCATGTGGTTTTAATTTCCATTTCTCTAATGACTAATGTGCTTCTTGGCCATTTGTATATTTTGCTCACTTAAAAAATCGGTTTCTCTGGGGCCGGCAGTTGGAGTGGTGGTTAAGGGCACTAGAGTCTCACATGGCCGACCACGGTTTGAGTCCCAGATATGGCAACTTGCTTTCTCACTTTTCCTCTCTCTCTTTCTCACTCTGTCCCTCTCCAGTTAAATTAAAATAAATTAAGATAAGTAAAATAATTCTTTAAAAAATTGTTTCTCTGTTGTTGAGTTATAGGAATTCTTCGTGTATACAGGATACCAGTCCATTCTCAGAAAGATACATATCTCGTGAATATTTTTTTTACCTCTGGCTTGTTTACTTTGCTAAATATGTTCTCTAATAGATATTTTTCATTTTGATGAGGCCCAAATTATTCATATTTTATTTTTGGTGCTTTTCTGTATTAAGAAAGCATTACTAGGACCAGCAGATGACATAATGGTTATGTTGCTGGACTCCCATGTGGCTTACCTCAGTTTGAGTCTCAGACCAGGAGGCTTGAAACTCATACTAGGGGTGTGTGTGTGCATGCCCCAAATCCTGAATGGAGAATGGAAAAGAAGGGATTATGGCATGGCCATCCCTCTGGGGGGTGATTTCTTGCTCTTTGTCTCTCTGGCAAGTACATGTGCCCTATAGCAAAAATTTCTCTCAAAAAAGAAAGAAAAACAATGAGATCCTATTGTTTGACTCAAAATGGATGACTCTAAAAGACTTAATGTTGAACAAAGTGAGCCAGACTTTGAAAGATACATGTTGTATATCCCCAATTTGTACTGAGTGTCTGCACGTATGGCAGAGGTGGAAAGATCTGAAAATGTGATAGTAGAGAGGATGGGTGTTGATACTATAGACTGCAAGGGGAGAGTGGATGGTAGAGAGTGGGCGGTGGAGGATGGGTGTGAGGTACAAGCGGAGGAAACAGTCTACAGATGGAAAAATGTAAAGTTCTCTGTTGAAAATATATACATATATTTATTGTATATATCACGATGGAGACTTTATGCAAAGTGTGAAATTAATCTGGACATAAAAAAAGAAAAATAATTTTTTTAAAAAGTAGAAAAATGAAAATGATAAAGAATGGAAACACTAAGTAGAATTTATTCCAGAAATGCTAGGTTGGCTTAACGTTAGAAAATCAATGAAATTCAACATATTAACAGGATAAAAAAAGGACATTGTACTATTATTTCAATAGATGCGGAGAAAGCATTAGACAAAAGTTAGCACCCATTCATGTTTTATTTTAAAAAACTTAAGAAAACTAGGAACAAAAATAAAAAGAAAGTTCTTCAACCCAATAAAGGGTACCAATTAAAACCCACAAGTGATATCATACTTAATGGTGAGAAATGAAAGTTTCCCTAAGCTCAAGACAAGAAACCTGCTTCCATCTCTTCTACTTAATATTCTACTGTGGCTCTAGTTAGATGAAGTTGAAGAAGAAAGAAAACTTTATATCAGATTCTTCATAATGGTGAGAGATAGGAGCCTTGTTTCATTTTTATGCAGGTGGATATGCAATTCTTCCAGCACCATTTGCTAAAGACTTTCTTTTCTCTACTAAATTGTCTTGTACCCTTTGTCAAAGATCAGTTAGCTATATGGTTTGGGGTTTATTTCTGGATTCTCTGTTCTGTTTCATTGGTGTATGTGTCTATTTCTGTGCCAGGACCATGCTGTCTTGATTTGGAAGTCAGTAAGTGAGATGCCTATTTTATTCTTTTGATGTAGTACTGCCTTGGCAATACAGGGTCCTTTATGATTCCAGACAAATTTTATAATTGCTTTTTTCTTTCATTCTTTTTCTTTTTTCTTTTTTTAGGATGAAGCAATC